GAGAGAGAGAGAGAGAGAGAGAGAGAGAGAGAGAGAGAGGTTATGCTAGGCTCTTGAACAAGGGAAACGAGAGAGGGAGAGAGAGAGAGAGAGAGAGAGGACGCGCCTGTGCGGAAGCTAAGCGGAGAGGGAGTCAACGATGAAAGGAGAGGGAGGAAGCTAAGAAGTGTAACCTTCTTTCGGAAGCAAGTTAGTCTTGTGGAGGCATTGCTTTCTCCTTCTTTTGTCATGTTAGGAACCGCAAGTCAAGCCATTGCCATCGAGAGAGAGAAACAGATCTGTGGAGTCGGGAGGAGGAGAAACCATAACTCACAAACTCTGTTTCTTTTGAGAAACAGATCTTTGGAGAAACGATAACTCTCGAGGAGGAGGAGGACGAGGAGGAGGACGCTGAAGGAGGGTGAAGGAGCAATTTAGGAAACGAAGGGTTAATCTCGAGAGACGAAAGCGAACTTCCGAATCCCGTCAAGAAGACCAGGTGCTGCGAAGACAATTTTCTGGTTCTGCTGCCAGGGAACGTGCCATTGAAGATGGAGCAAGAGGAATGTGCCAACGAGGAGGGAGTGACGGGAGAGCCACATGGACCTTTCCAGCTTGAACAGCTTGAGGTGCCCATTCGTCTGGCCCTCGTACTCTCTCTCTCTCTCTCTCTCTCTCTCTCTCTCTCTCTCTCTCTCTCTCTCTCTCTCTCTTTCTCTCTCTCTCTCTCTCTTTTTCTGGCCCTCAGACCTCCTTCCTCTCTCTCTCTCTCTCTCTCTCTCGCACACAACTCTTTCTCTCTCTATTTCTCTGACATACACATTGAAAATCCGATGAAGCAGTTTGTGACAGTCTCTGGTTTTTGGTGTTGTTCGTAGGGAACATACACACACACACACACACACACACACACACACACACACACACACACACACACACACACAGAGACACACAAACAAACGCACACGCATGCGTTGCGCATGTGTTCGTTACCTGTTTGTTTACGGCTGTATGTCGCCGTTCTTCTCCACTCTCTCTCTCTCTCTCTGTGTCTCTCTCCCTCTCTCTCCCTCTCTCTCCCTCTCCTCCTCTCCTGCTCTCTCCCTCTCTCTCTCTCTTCCTCTCTTTCTCTCTATTGCTCTCTCGCTCTGTCCCTGTTGCTCTCTCCCTGTCCATCTCTTTCCCTCTTTCCCTCTCTCCCTCTCTCCCTCTCTCCCTCTCTTACTCTCTCCCTGCCCCTCTCTCCGTCTTTCCCGTGCTCTCTCCCTACGCCTCTCTTGCTCTCTCCCTCTGTCCCTCTATCCCTCTGTCCCTCTGTCCCTCTCTCTTCCTCTCTCTCCCTATCTGTGCTCGTTGTTGGTACTGTCTCTTCTTCTCACAACCACCCGCGAAATCGTTTTCTCTCTCTCTCTCGCTCTCTCTCTCTCTCTCTCTCTCTCTCTGTGTCGCCGTCCATGTGTCGTCAGCCTTGGAAAAAATAGAGAGAAAAGAATCGTCCTTAGCCTTTTGTTATCGCACGTCCATATCTATCGACCCCAAGAAAGCGAATTTCATCTTCTTCAACGTAACTTCTCGGTCGTTTTAGATTGTTTTCTGTTTTTTTTTAGAAAAAGCTACGGCCTTGAGATATCATCATCGAGCCTGACCGGCCCCTTAGGTAATTCAGAATTATAGTATTTCACTCATCTGCTTCCAGTGGAGCGCGAACTCAGCACCTGGTCTGTATTTCAACAGTTCAGTTTAGGGGTGTACGAACGGAGCCAGGCCTGGTGGTACTTTTAGATTATTTTAGATATATTGTAGATATATTTTAGATAAATTGTAGATATATGTTAGATATATTTTAGATATATGTTAGATATATTTTAGATATATTTTAGAAATTTAGATCACAGCCCCTCGTTTGTTGTCCTCTTCTCTCTCTCTCTGCCTACGGTTTACCGGGCAGTTCTATTTGTGACGATATATGTTAGATATATTTTAGATATATATTTTTATATATTTGAGATATATTTTAGATATGTGTTAGATATGTCATATATGTTTTATAAAGGGTATACTATATTCTTCTCTTAAATAGATTTATGTTAGATATATGTTAGATTTAATGACAATACCTATAAGCACCTTGTCAGTTTTAACAAGGTCAACCCGGCTCTCACGATACCTCTTCTACCTCCGCTCTCTCTCTCTTTCTCTCTCTCTCTCTCTCTATCCAGCATCTCTCTTCGTCTCTCCCTCTCTCTCTCTCTCTCTTTATCCAGCATCTCTCTCTCGCTCTTTATCCATCATAACTCCCTTTTTCTTATCTCTCCCTCTCCATCATCTCTCCCCTCTCACTGTCTCCGTCCTCTCTTCTTTTGTCCGTCATCTCTCTTTCTCTCTCTCTGTTACCTTCTCTCTCTCTCTCTCTTTATCCAGCATCTCTCTCTCTCTCTCTCTCTCTCTCTCTCTCTTTATCCAGCATCTCTCTCTCCCTCTCCATCATCTCTCCCCTCTCACTGTCTCCATCCTCTCTTCTTTTGTCCGTCATCTCTCTTTCTCTCTCTCTCTCCCTTTGTCAATCCTCTCTGTTTTTGTGCATCACCTTTCGTTTTCCCATGATTCTCTTTTTTTCCATTATCTCTCATTTTTTGTCCATCATCTCTATTTCTGAGGCCATCGTTATCACACACACACACACACACACACACACACACACACACACACACACACACACACACACACACACA